AAAATTGAAAAGTAGTATTTCTTGGAGAAAAATGTGCAAAACCCACCGTTCGCCCAACTTTTAATCTGCAGTGATTTTGTAGTATCACTACAAGAAATATTGGTTTTAGTGACAATTTTGTATGGTCGCTAAAAGTTAGAAAATGGTAGCTAAAACTTATAGCGACCAAATTAAGCTTGGTCACCGGTGGTCACAACAGGGTAGCTACTAAAAGTACCCAGTGACAAGAAAATTAATTGGACGCTAAAAGATGATATTTAGCGGCGAACTAATAATGGTCACTAAAAATATAATTATTAACGACCAATTTTTGACTCGCTAATGTAAATTTTATGGTGGCAATATTATTAATATGGTTGCTATAGCAACATATATAGTGGCCATATAATTTTGGTCACTAAATGATAGATACGTATAGTGACCATATTTTATTGTTGCTATAGGATATATATTTTACCACCAAATTTTTTGGTTGCTACATAGTATACATATAGTGACGGTATCTATTGGTTGATAAATAATATATCTCTTGGTTGCTAAAATATATACATATAGTTACCATATTATTGGTTGCAATAGTTTTTACATGGTTTCTCAACAATTGCATTAATTTACTGAGCAATTCAGACCCATAAAAAATTAAAATAAAACTAAAGATTGCAAATTTACATATTATCAATCAAATGTAAGTATTATAATTTTAGTCTATCATACTCAATACAATAATAAATCAATCATTCCAAATAATAAGAAAGATTGCTATAATTATTTCATAATAAATTCCACTTCATAAATTGTTAAGCGACAACAAATATGACTCCACAATAACGTTCTTTCACTTCATCAAACAGTCACAGAAATTACAGCCCCATTTCGACAGAATGCTCCATAGTGCCTACGTCTTTTTCGGCATGTCCATGATGAACCTAACCACATAAAATCATTCGCATATTGATCGACCTTTCGAACACGGACATCCTACAAAGATATCAGTGATGTAAGACAATGGCCCAAGTCAATCGTAGAACTCAAAAATACAAAAAATTAAGTAAACTGAATAACGAGAAGAAAAAAACACTCGCGGAACTTACCTTAACAATAACATCATCTAACTGACCATCCATCCCACATGTAAACTCCTTAACAGACCCACTAGGCCGTTCACCTAAAATAAAAATCAAAATAAATTGATTAACACCAACAACAGAAGAGGTACTAACAAATCTTTTTAACCAAAAGGAAGAGGGACGAGTATTATAATGTTGTAAAAGAAAAGCAAAAACCATGTATCGCAATCCTCAACAAAACTATGTTCAGCAGTAAGAGAAAAAAATCACAGAACAATCAATATTGGCCCAGAGAGAACATTGTAGATGTTGACCTAGAATAGGAAATGGGAAATCCGAGGCTCTCAACCAGCTTTTAGAAATCTTAATATCCCTGCAGTCCAGATTACAGTCAGTCTTTCATAACGATAGCACCACATCTATTGAGGCAATGAAACCCATAGATTCAAGAAAAAACACAAAGGCCAAAACAGGATTATAAGGATAGTTAAAAGAAAAGCCATTTTTTAAAGCAATAGCTCCAATCAATTTCCTGCATGTAACAAAATTTAAGCTCCGCGGGAATAAGGTGGGGGGGGGGGGGGGGTATAATTCAGAAAACGTATAGGCCAAATCCATCGGAACAAGGAGCATATTCCGATAAATTCTATCAGCAAAACTGAAAGGGAAAAAAAGAATTATTCAATTAGAAGATAAGAAATCATATGATAGAATCAATTTCAATCATTTGTCACTTAGTAGCACTCATAATGCAATAATGTATCTGGGCTCTTGCAGAAATAGCTACTTACCTCATCCAATTCATGTGTTTAATGTGATACATCGTCTGAGAATTATTAGTTAGGATGAAAATTGTAATTCATTTGTTCTACTTCACATAATAATTGAGGAAGCTTAAAAAACAATACGAAACAAATTATTGGAATAAGTGTTGAATCAAGATGAGAACTTATTTGAATAGTTCGTGGAAGAAGATACCTTACTCTCGAGTCATGCTCAAGTCTTGAATGAGAGCTTTAGTATGCTCGATAACTATAAAAATATTTATCACTTCATAAGATTCTAAATGCTAATATAACCGTATTATTCCACTATATCACATAGTCAATTTTTTGAAACATTTATTAAGAATTTCTTGAAACATTTATTAAGAATATATTGCTGCCACAGCTTATTCGAACAATCGTTACGATCACCATACTTATCCGAATAACCTAAAAGATATATCGAATTAAAGCTAACGTATGTATCTACAGGTTCACTGAAGACCCTGAGCCCAAATTATCAACCTAACACACCAATAACTGCCCCGGAAGATGATTACATGAAACTGCCAGGTTTTAAAACAAATGCATCTGCTGGCACTGTTTATTTGAAAAATCATAACAATTTATTGAGTTATCCAAATTGTTCAAATAATACACTAAATTGAACCTGACAATGTAATCTACAAGTTCTCAGAAGACACACTGCCCAAATTATTAGCTCAACATAGCAAAAACAGCCCCGTAAGATGGATATTCAAAACTGTCCTGTTTTGACAGATTCAGGGTCGTATGATTCTGACCTCGGAAAAGGCTATACAACGTGCTCGAATTAGAAATAATGTAACACTTACTTATAACACTCGCGGTTCTCTCCGAGTTTTGAGAAGAAATGATTCCCAAATTCGCAATCCAAACCCTCCGAGTAGACGGCGTCGACTGCTTTAACGGAGATGAATTTTGTTTCCTTTATTTTCTTGCTTGAACAAGGGCAACAATGGTGAACAGTCAGAAAACAACTCAATTTGCAGAAAATAAAGAAAAAAAATCAAAAATCAAAAATCAAAAATCAAAGCATAAAATAGATAATTTGCGGCACATACAAATTAAAAACCCTAATCTCCCCAATTTTGTGTTTGCCGTTTCAATTGCGACAGAGAGGAGAACGCACACTCACCGGAAAATACACAAATGCGGAGTCTTGCCGGAAGAAAATGACGAATTCGCCGGTGAATAAGAAAATGGCTCTGTACTGAGAGAGAGAGAGAGAGAGAGAGAGAGAGTTAAGGGCGGGCGGAGAGAGAGAGAGAGAGAGAGAGAGAGAGAGAGAGGGAGAGTTGAGTGTATTTTAATTTAGGGCCGGTAATTTTTTTTGAAATTATTTTAGACGAGAGTACAAGTATTCTAATGCACAAGGCACAATTCCTTAAAGCACATAAAAATCAAATAATATATTAATTAATGTAAATTAATGTACAAGCGGATAAAGAACAACGTACAAGTAATTAATGAACATAATCACAGCATAATCTTGCACCAACTTATAAGTTATAAGAACAATCCATTCACATAATCCTTTATTGTTTCTTCCTTATTATCTCGTTCGATTCTTGCGATTTTTCCTTTGTTAAACGTTCTGAACTTCTGGTAATACTTTGGCTCATTGTCTTGCTACTCAGTAATATCAGGCGAGAATTGGTAGAGAGAGAGTGTAAGCGAGAGATTGAACAGAGTAATGATTTGGGATGAAAGAAATGCGTGTAACGAAAGAATGAGAATTCGTTGTGTTTTTCCATTATTTGCATTTTCGCCCTCCATCTTTCTTTTCATTCTTTTCATTTCTTGATTTGTTTAAAAATTAAATTACTGACCAAATCGATTAAATTTTCATAAGTAGTTTCATAACAACCAAATTAAAGTGGTTAGTAGCAACTTAATTAGATGGTCGTTAATAATTAAATTAAGACTTGTAGCAACCGTAAAAAAAAATTGATGTTAAATTGGTCACTATTGACACTAAGTTATAGTGACCATAAAAATTGTCGCTACAAACTTTAAATTTAGTTGCTATAAGATGTCAAACTATTAGTGACCACTTATAGCCACCAAATGTTCGCCGGTCGCAAAAGGATTTAGCCCTACCAACTTTTGCTACCAAATTACTTTTGGTCACTAAATGTGAATATTCAGTGACCATTTAGTTATGGTCGTTGAGAATTTTGTCGCTGAAGCTAGTTTTTCTTGTAGTGATATGTGTTATTATATGTAGATTAATGGTTTAAAACTACATTATGTACTCCGCCAGGCGTAGGTTCTACAAAACCGTAGCATCTGACAGTTTGAGTTTTTAATTGTGGTATTTGAGTTATCTTGAATGTATTCTATCAATATAATCAAACATACCCTGTGTAACTCCTTACTATTTAATCAATCGATCGACGGGTTAATTATAACAATCGAACTAGTCTTAGTCTTAGCCTGCATGGGTGTAGTTCAACTGGTTCCGGAGGTGGTAAGTTGGTGCAAGGTCCTAGGATCGAATCCTGGTAGCCGCAGTGTGAGAATTTCAACTCCAATGGGGTTGGTTCCTTGTGGGCACCAGGTCCAGGTCCGCTACCTTAACGGGCCGTTGAGTTACGATGATTTACATTCCTCTATCAATCCTTGTCGGACCAAGGAGGGGGGCCCTGGGGGCGAGGGATTTCGCCTTTATTGGTGCAATGAAAGTTTTCATTTACAACGGTTCAAAAATCCTTAAAATAATACCGACATTCAAAACTAGTAAAGGACAGTAAATAAATATAGTTGGAAATATTTAAGAAATGCAATTTGCAATCTTTTATTACAATTATGTTCATAGTCTACCGATTGTGGAAAAAGGGTAATATATATAACATTTAAGTATCGATCATTAGTTTTTGTGTAGATATTATTTTAATGACAATTTCTCAGTATGCACATATTAAATCCAGTAGCTTTTAACCTTATGGTGCTATTTTAAAAACAAAAATCAAGAAAAGAAATACCAGGATCCTTTTCATGATGACGTAATCCACCCACATCTTCACTATAAATTACCATACTTCATCTTCTTTCTCTTCTCACATTACCAAAAAGAATAAATACAAAAAAAAATTTATTGAGCGCTAGAATATTATTAATATACATAATGGCGAACGCAGTTCCAGTAGTTCACAAAGCTTGCGCCGCATGCCAACACCAGAGCAGAAGATGCGATGCAAACTGCGAACTCGCCAAATATTTCCCGGCGGAAAAAGCCGAAGATTTTGAAGACGTGTACCACCTTTACGGCATGCAAAACACGTTGAAAATACTTAAATCTGTTGAAGAAGAAGAAAGAGATAAAACGATTGAGAGCCTTATTATGGAGGCGAAGATGCGATTGGAATATCCCGTGCACGGCCACTTTTCGGCCGTGAGAAAGCTTAGTATTGAGATTGACAAGGCAGAGAAAGAGCTAGAATTTGTCCGCAGACAAATCCAGCTCTTTAGAGGATCGGATAACCGGGCCGGCC